GCCTTACTTTGGAGTACCTGTTCCAAACTACTACGACGTTCACAGGCGCTCAACTTGCTCACCCTGGAAAAGGACCTTGCCAACTCGCTGGGTCTCAACATCGATGACTTCAATCAGCGGATCAAGGTTCACGACCATTTGGCCAGCTTGGTACTTCAATTTCTTCAACAACATCACACCTCTCTCACACCTTCTACCCAGACAGATGACATGGTCAAGAAGTACAATGATCTAAATTGTGCGCACGAACTGCTCCAAGCTCAGTATTCCGCATCGCTGCGCGCTTCGACCTCTCCCACGATGGCAAGCCAGAAAGATGATGCAGAGTTGGTCACACCGCCACCGGTCAACCACACACCATCCTCGTCACCTGCCAGCTCCCTTCCTACAGCCAGCGCAGCGGCCCTTGATGGCAAGTCGTTTGATAGCGCGGTGCAACCTCGGATCATTCAGTCTCTTCACGGAGTGTCGTCACCGCCGTCCAAGCCGGCGGCGTCACAACTGCTCACCATGCACAGCACGCCGGATGAAGTTGTCAAGTACTACACATGGACCAGTGACCAGCCTCGCCTTTATCTCAAGCAATCGCCCACAACCACGACTTTGGCGTCACTGGTCAAGTGGGCCAATCACCCGTCCCGGCTCAACGGCAACAAGTCATTAGATTCCATGGCGACGCAGCTCCTTCAAGCGCGTCAACGCATGCCGAAAGGCGACGCGCCGACTCTCGGGGCGATGGCGGCTTCGTGGGGACTGGAGCCCGGCTATCTTACCAAGCTCACTGAGAAGGCATTGAGTCACCTCATCGTGACCGCTCGTCTACTCAGCGGATGAGCAGGCATCTTAACGACCTTCGTTCTCTTATGAGCCCGGAGCGGCAACCATGTCACGGATGAGTCAGGGTTAAAACTCGTCCGTCATCTTTCTGCGTTGCACCAGTTTGATCTTCTGCTTGGTTGTTCTTGCATTGCCTTGTGTGTGATTGTCTGTGCAGCTTGTATCCATGTCGCCGCCTTATGGTAGATTTCATTGGTTGCATTTTCACCATGCTGGATGAGCTTCGCCGCTGTGGAATCTATGATGACGTTGCACAATGGCAGTCTCTGGACAACTTTTTACACTCGTTGACCATGTTCTCTACGTGCTGGCAATACTGCTTCCCTGGACTGCCGCCACCGTCGATACCAGCTGATGAGTACGAATCAATCACACAACTACCGTGGTTGGGCCTCATTCTAGAAGTCTTAGTTGTGGTTCGGATTGCCCTTCAGATTCCGAATCACGCTATGTCACACTCTCAGCACACTGTGGCCAACAGGTATGAGATTCATAGATGTCGGTGCACTGCCTATTTATTGATCAGTTTCTTACAACGTCTCATTTCCCAGGATCATGGCTACTTCCCGCCGTTCTTTGATGTCCTTCACTTCTACAAGGCTTCTCTCTTGTGTGAAATCATGCACTCCACTTTTGCCGACACGCGACATCTTCGCTCATTGCGGGCACGCTTTCCTGACCTCTATGACTTCATACACGATCCAGGTCATCATCAACAACCGTGCGTCTACATCCGACTTTCCCCGTGGCACACACCTTACTACGTTGGAGCGACTGATCAGGATGTTCTACGACGTGAACACTTACGCAGTCGCAAATTTCTACAACTACTTCGAGGACGTCATGCCTTCTTCGAACCTGCGCTTCACTACTGGAAGCGATCCAATACTTACTGGCTCTTCTGTGCGGTTCCGGTTGAGATCAAACTTCCCGTTTCCTCGGTTTGGGTCCAAGAAAGTAAATGGCAATACTTGCTACGCCCGCATTTGAATGCACCCTGGGTACACAGACTTTTGCGAAAGGTGGGCTTCCGAGAACACCTCGTTGATTTTCGACGTCACTCGTTGTCGTCTCCCACTTCCCTCAGCTTGCACAAACGCTTTCGACGACGACTACATCCTGATCTCCAACGGCAACTACGACCCGACATGCTGGATGACATTCAGGCCCATTACTCTATTCTCTATCAGCTGGGATCCAATACAGGAGCATCGTTCCAAGCCATGCGTGACCTACTGTCGGCAGCTTTCCCTCCTACTCAGCTGTACTACTTTCTGCGGCTCTCCGTCTTTG